CATAGTTTGTTTATCCATTCATCTGTTGATGGGCATCTAGGTTGTTTCCATCGTTTTGCTATTGTGAACAATGCTGCCATGAACATAGGTGTACATATGTCTATTTGAGTGACGACTCTTAGTTCTCTAGGATATATTCCTAGGAGTGGGATTGCTGGATCGAACGGTATGTCTATTTCTAGCTTTCTGAGGAAGTGCCATATCATTTTCCAAAATGGTTGTATCATTTGCATTCCCACCAGCAGTGCATAAGAGTTCTGATCTCTCCACAGTCCCTCCAACATTTGTTATTTCCAGTGTTTTTGATTCGTGCCAGTAATGCCAGGGTGAGATGGTATCTCATTGTGGTTTTAATTTGACTAAGTTTTAAATATAGGTTACCCTGCTTTATAATTACCTGAAAGCATCTATAATCACAGCATCTCAGTGTTAACAGGCCTTTAGAACTTAACTCTCCACCTGATACCTAAAAGTTCCCCTGCAATATCCCTCTCCTCTGCCTGGGTCAGCTCCCATCATGTCCGTGAGCTCATTCTCCCAGAGAAGCTTATTATGCGGCCAAAAACTCTAATCCTTAGGCAGTCCTTTTATCACGTTGAAATCAATCTTCTTAAGCCTTCCAAGTCTAGTTCCAGTTCTGCCTCTATAGACATGCAGAGTAAGTCTAACATCTTTTTGACATTTAATAGCATAAACACTGATAAAGTGTGCAAGCTACTTGTTAGATAATGGGATAATGAAGATAAATAACATCATTCCTGGTCTCTAAGATTTTAAAAACCCAAGTTGTTGATTCTAAAAGCTAAGCATTCTCTATTCTTTGAAATGTTCCTCAGATGGATTACTTTCTCCAATCATCCTGGTAGTCTCCTCTGATTCACTCTTAAGTTTGCCAGCATTTTTCTTAACAACATCTACTCAGGACTCAACACAATGCTGTCAGTGTGGTCTGCTTGGAATGCTGCGTTTTCATTCACGCAACTAACACCGGAAGTCACTCATTAAAGTTCAATTAAGTTCAGAGTCAATTAAAAATCCTACTTCTTTTTCTATATATATTTAGCCACATCTTGTCCATACAACTTTTTTTTTTTTTTTAAATATGCTTGCTTTTATTTAAGCCTTAAGTGCAGGATTTTTAATTTATTTCTACTGAACTTCATCTTGACACAAATAAACAAAAAACCTCAGACTGTTAGAGTGATTAGAGAACTAGAGTTCATTTTCTTATATTTAATTCACTGCTCTAACTCACTGGATAATTTTTTAAATCTATTTATATACAGGTGGAGAAAGTAAATCCTTTGTTATAACTGTAATGTTATTTTATTATATTTCTAACCCTCCTGCCCCCCAATACACACTTACCATTCTACCATATAAGGGTACTTCTCTTCCACGGTAAGAACAGGATCAACTTCAATAGCATAATATTTTTCCTTTAGTTGCAATAACTAGAAAAAAATGAGTAACTTAATCATGAATGAGATGACACAGTTTTGTCATTAATCTGCTTAGTCTTACAGAAAGCAAAACAATGTAAACAAGTGTTCTCCATAAACTGCTTTACAGGTAAAGATTAGATCATGACTACTTAGCTAATGCATACACTGAAGAGATTCTTGTTGATCTTAGTTTACGTGTAACTAAACAGACCTGCAGAAAGTTACTTTTCTTTCTTTAAGTACTTTCAGGCCAGCAGTTCAATAAAACCATCTAATGGCCAAATAATCACTAAAAAAACAAGTTCTCATATAAAAGTATTAAATATGATTCACATTTTGAGTATTATTTTGTTAAGATTTACACAGACAGACACATACTCAAGCAAAGCAGATCAATTTAAGGGAGAGAAGCTTACATAAAACCAAAGTACTTTTGTTTTAATTTTCCAGTTAACATAAAGACACCAGAGAATATTTTGGAAATTATTTTAAAATTTTTAATGTAAGAATTTTTTTGGTTGTTGTTAAAAAGTTACTGTTAATTTCTACTTTTAAAATATGTGGAGAGTGTATAATCCATACAGCAATCAACCTAGCATTTACTGACTGCTTACTGTGTGTCAGGGATGGTTGGCTATAAGCACTTGACCTACGCTCCTGTTTGTGGGAATAACCTGAAGAAATTTTCAGGCAAAAAGGCTAATGAAGTCTTTGAGTAACTCTGGATTACTATTAGTGTTTACCTTTTTTCGACATTCATCTGTAACCAGTTTACAGCTGTCAATGACATCTAAAGAAAGAAAGCAAAATAGGCATCAAAATAAACACTGTAATTGGTGATATCACTACTATGTACAATTTACCATTTTTCTTTTAAGTTAAACAAAAGTCAACTAGCACGGTTTTAGTGCTATAATAATTTATATGCCATTGCTAAAGAAATTAATGGTTTAAACTCTGAGGTTTAGTGAGTGCTCATTTATACCACCAGCTAGACAATTCAAAGTCTTTAAACACTGAATTGTGTACTCTCTGTTCTCATTTTCACCTTTCTTTTTAATTAAATAGAAGCAAGGAGTACATCTTTGAAATACATGTTTTCCTAATAAAAAGATAATAGATGCTTAATGTGAAAATCTGGAATTTCACATTATTATAAAGAAGAAAACAAAAAGCACTCACAATTTTACCATTCCAGAATAAATTCATAACAATATTTTGGTATTTCATTCCAGTCTTAAAGTTCCAGCATATCATTTAGATAAGAGATTATACCACATCTATAAATTTGAATTGTTTTTTTAATTTTACCTTATAGCCTACCTTTTCCCATGTAATTAAAAGCTCTCTATAAATATCATTCATAATAGTTGTATATGCTGTGTTACATAGGCATGACATAATTTACACCATTTTCCCTAGTGTTAAACTTTTTAGGGTGTTTCCCAGCTTTCACTATTGTAATTTTATGTTAAGCTTAATTACCACTATTTTTGTGAATAAAGCCTTTTTCCTACATTTAGGATTACACACTTAGATATTCTCCAGAGAGGAATAACTGGGCCAAAAGTTACGAAGATTTTTACTGGTTTTTATACAAATTATTAAACTGATTTCTCAATTTATATATGCACCAATAGTAAATGAAAGGGTGCTTTTCACTGCTTGTCAGGTTGAAGAGTATTATTAAAAAACTCATAGCCAATTTGGAAAATACGAAAGGTATATTAGCCTAGCAATACATTTTAACTGGAAATCTATTTAATCATTGATTTTTTTTCTTAATTTATACATATACAACACAAAAATTTGGTATAATTCCTAGAAAACACTGTTTTTGATAAATGCTTTTACTTAGGTTAACTCAAAGTTTAAAATCCATTTAAATATTTCCTGAATAATCAAGAGACCACATTTACAGAGAAAAATTTCAGAAGTCTTCATTCCTTTTGTAACTAAAACCATATATACAAATACCCATTTATGTAATACGAGGAAGACAAATCCTCAAAATATAATTAAGAAAAAGCAGGTCCCTTTTTCCTCAGATCCCATTACTTTCAATGTCCAAAAAGAATAAAAAAAAACCAGTCATCTCTCAGGTAATACAAGTGAAAGGATCTTAAAATAATGTTTACTTTCATGAATAAGTTGTTTAAGAATGCCACACTTACTATGACATGTTGGGCATCTCTTCCCTTTGTAGGAAAATCTACTTAGTGTCATATCAAAGTCTGTTATTATCTGTAAGGAAAGGGAGAAAGGTGTTACGTAAACACAGCCACCAGGGCAGAGGTACTGCGCGCTACCCAAATGCATACTGCATGCTTCCTAAAGGTACTCTACTGTGCTTGTCCTGCGCCTGTACTGTAGAGGTTATTCTCTCTATATCTGAGTTTTCAAATGCAGCTCATGTATAAAGTTCTGGGAATGATCCTAGCTACAAGTTGATACCTTAAGTGCGCTAGCGCTGTCACCAAATAAAATCTGAACAATCAGTATAGGAACTTGAAATTGTAGGTGATATGGTTACTGTACTTTTTAAAGATAAAACATTCCATAATTCCAACCCACTTGGGTCAGTGTACAAAAACACAGAGGAAGCAGTTAAACTATATACAGCTCTTAGTTACTGATACTGGTACATTCTGGATTTAACTGGTCTCTTTAAGGTAAACTATACCAATGAATGAATAACACATGGAAATAGTTTGCCAGCTCTTAAAACTTAGGATTTTTATATTAAATATATAAATAAATATTAAATATATAAACATAAATAATACTAAATATTTTTTCAAAAATGTTTAAAATTTACTGAATATCTATCTAGATTGTGGTTTTATTTACATTTAAAACATTCTTTAAAAAAAAAGAATTAAAATCAGCTACCTCCTAATAAGATTATATCTTAATTTGAATTATCATGACTTCCTTAATTAAAAATGGAAGAGCAACTTGATAGTGTATACTTTTTAATACTATTCTTAAAATGATTTAATACTTGTGCACAGCATTAGTTTTACACTTTAAAGTCTAAAGAATAACTAAGATTATTTCAAGTCTTAATTTTTTTGTTTTATTGTGGTAAAATACATATATACATACATACATATGGAAAACAAAGCGTTTGTCAATTCAACATTTCTTATAATACAGTCTAGTGACACTGATGATTATCGTGTCGTACAACTACCATCACTATCCATTACCAAAGTATTCCACCACTGTTAAGAGAAACTCAGCGTCCCCTAAACAATGACTTTCCCGTTCCCCTCCTCTCCTGCCCCTGGTAACCACTAATATACTTGGTCTTTAAACATTTGCCTATTCTAGATATTTCATATAATTGGGATCATTTAATATTTAAGGCTATTAATTTTTGTGTTTCCAGTGGGGTACTCTGTATATTTTAGAGCAACTCTAGATACATCTTTCAGATTTTAGGTTACAGAAGGATAGGCAAAGCTTGCCTACCTACATTTACTTCACTCGGATTTTAACAAAACACGGTATGAATAAACCTGCTTGAATATGAATAATAAATGATTCTCGATAATTATTCACCTGAAGTTTGGCAGCTCCTCCTTTGATAAGACCACAGATAATTTCTTCTACTCGTGCAGGGTTCTTGATGCGAACAGAACCTTTCTGGAATTCTGGCATCTAAAAATAAAAAGAAGTTAATTATTTTTAATTTCTTTTTTCCCAGGTTCCTCTGATACCAAGCAGAAGCTTGTACTATTTAAAGATATAATGTATATTATATCTTGTGTATAAATCACCACTTACACACACACAAAAATGTTTAAAGCATATCCGTAGTTTGCATATAAATTAAGACATAACTACATGCATAACTCATTTACTTTATCAGAAAGTGTACTGTTTTCTAATTATAAAAATAATGTATGTTTACCACAAAAATTACAGAAGAAAGTATAAAATAGAAAATAAAAGTCACCTAGAATCCTACTACCCCAAAATAAAACAGGTAAACACTTTAGTTTATTTTCCATTAGTCTTGTTTCTATGATTACACACACATAAGTATATTCAGTTTCATCTCATTCTTGTTATATGCTTTTGCATCTGGCTTTGTAAAATTAAAGTTATTATTTATGTAGTTAAAAAAATTTTTAAATCAGAATTCATTAATTAAAATAGAACCACAGAATTGAAGAGAGATTAATATTTGAACTTTGTGATACAGTGGTTTCTTACAAGAGCCTTTCTACTTAAGACTCAGCCTGTATCCATATTTACACTTAAAAATAATTCTGAACAGAAAGTAAATAAATATCACATGATTATTCCCCATAAGTTTATATCTCTGTACAAATCACTAAAATATACTTAAAATATTTTAAACTTTGAAGAGTTGCTTCAAAATCTGTGTTTCTTCTAATGGTGGTTGTTATTAGTTGCTGTCAAGTAGGCTCTGACTCATGGCAACTTTACGCGTAACAGTACTAAATGTTGCCCGGTTCTGTGTTGTCTTCATGATTGCTGGTAGGTTTGAGTCCGTCGTCGTAGTTCTTGTGTCAATCCATCTCACTGAGGGTTTCCCTTGTTTTTCTTGGCCCTCTATCTTTACCCAATGCGATGTCCTTTTCTAGCGATTGGTCTTTCAGGATGACATGTCGAAAGTAAGCGAATTAAAGTCTTGCCATCCTCGCTTCTAAGGAACATTCTGGTTGTATTTCTTCTAAGATTGATTTCTTTGTTCTTTTGACAGTCCATGGTATATTCAATATTCTTTGCCAACAACACAGTTCAAATGCATCAATTCTTCTTCTGTCCTCCTTTTTCACTATTGAACTTTCACACGCATATGAGACAATCAAAAAGACCATGGCTTAGGTCAGGCACATCTAGCCATCAAAGTGACATCTTTGCTTTTTAAAACTTTAAAAGAGGTCTTTTGCAGCAAAAAGTTTTATCCAATACAAAAAGCTGTTTGATTTCCTGACTGCTGCTTCCATGGATGATGATTGTTGACCCAAGCAGAATGAAATCGTTGACAACTTCAATTTCTTCTCCATTTATCATAATGTTTACTGGTCCAGTGTGAGGATATAATTTTTATGTGTATCTTTTTTATGGTATTATGTCCCAAATAATTTGTTCATTGTTCTTGGCATAAATTTTATGACAGATTTATTTCAAGTTAAGACAACTGCTGAAAAGTAGTAGACTACCTAGGTTTAGGCCATTAACTGGGCTAGTTTATATAGAAGGCTTTAGGGTTACTCAATAATCTAATGTTAAACATTGTTTCTTATTTCTGTCCTATCAGTAATATGATCACAGAAAAATCAGTACAAGCAACACAGTGCTCTCAAAGCACATGCATAAGAAGCCCGGGAGGAAGAAACTATGGATCACTTTATAATCAGTTCTGCAGTCTGAACAGACAACAACAGTACCTCAGATCAAGGCTCTATACTGCTTTGTACCAGGTAATCTTTGCTTATTTACATGTTTTTATTCTGGGTATGTTATTGCCAATACTAACATATTTCATGAGTAGTATGGACACAGTTATGAAAAATTCCCTAGACCATCTGTCTTTGTCTATAAGATAATCTGACCAGGTAAGTCTATCAAGTCCCATATTTTCCTTATATAACAGATAATAGTTGAAAATTGGAGAAAGGCTAAAATGTTTTCCAAAGACTGGAGGATGAAAACCGAAGTGTACAGGAAAGATAAGTCAAAGCATTCATTAACCTATTATTTGCTAAACAAATATTTGCCAAGTATCTGCTTTATGCCAAACATTCTTGCTAGTTGTTAGGGATACAATGATGAGCAGTACTTACACTGTTTTCCTGTTAAATTTCAGGGACCATCGCTCTTTTGGAATATTTCTGTAACCCCTCCTTTATAAATATTTCAGCTAGTAAGTTCATCTCCTGACAACTAACTTCTGTTCTTACCTCGCGTTAACTGACAAACGCATAGTAATCAGCATATGCTTGATTCAATAACTAGCGTATTGCACATTGAAAGCAATGGAGGATATATGCTGCTGACTATATTTTTACCAAGAAAATTAAGCATTCTGGGTAAGATGTCCTCTCTCAAACAAATCAGATCCTCAGGTTTCAGAAAAGCACCACAACCATTTCAAAGTACCCTGGTTTTTGCTAGGCCAACAACTATTAGATTGGTTTATTCTAAATTACTGGGGCCTGAAAGAGAACCAGTGGCTAGAGGCATTTGTAGCCCTGCTTCTGCACATCATACAACCATTCATTTTCAGGTAAACAAGTAGCGAATACCCAAACAGCACTGGAAGGAAATAACAGTGATGAAAACAGTCAGTGCCAGAGCAGCTACTTTCCCCAGAGAATACATTAGAGTGGGGGGCGTAGGTGTAAAAAATATAAAAATGATATTATACCTGCCTTGGATTATATGATTATATACTACACCCTCCCTCACACAATATCCATAAAATGCCACTGAAATATATGACAAATACGTCTCGGGAACTTGAGATATTGGGCATTTTACTCAAATATTTTACAGCCTAAGAGATCCAATTAAAGGATACTGCATGAAGTATGTCAAAGAATACCAGAATATCAGAACATTAAGCAGCATACTGCAGGAGTATGCCCTTCTCACCCATCCTACTTTTGTTATCTCCGCATATCCCTTCTTCAGTCGCTCTTGGGCAAAAATACACCTTGTAATGACACATAAAATAATGAGACTTCAAATTTGAAGGGCAACATAAAGCAAAAAGAGACTAAATGGGCACACTGGTCCAGGGGAAAGGATGAGAAGGCAGGAGGGGACAGGACAGGTGGTAATAGGGAACCCAAGATTGAGAAGAAGAGAGTTTTGACATGTCATGGAGTTGGCACCAATGTCACAAAACAGTATGTGTACTAATTGTTTAATGAGAAGCTAGTTTGTTCTGTACACCTTCATCTAAAGTACAATAAAAAAAAATTTAAAGGGCAAATTGTTTTGAGTTATCTGAAGACTTTTCAGTTTGATTATAATTTTATGGATAATAAACAAGAGGTCAAAAATTTCCACCATTTGTGATAAAAAGAAAATGAATTCATTTTATAATATGGCTGTAATGTAAAACGCTGGGGAAGGAACAAAGCATTCTTGACAAGAATCAGGGTTCACTGCATGACTGGCGCCTAATCTGAATCAACAGTAAAGATGATTAAGAAAAACCTAAAATACATTTATTCTGACTTATTGTTAATATACTTTACTTGTACAGATGAAACAAACTCCTAATCATTAGTCCACTTTTATGTTTAAAAAGCAATAATTTCTAAAAATAGTTGATTTCAGTTATGCTGTTCTATTCACAACTCTATAGCAATATTAGATTATTTGATATTATCTTGCAGATACATTGGGAAAAGACATAAATGAGTATCTTCATAGTCATCAAATTTCTGGGCTTGGCTAGGTATCACCAATCCAACAGTAATCTCCCAGACTAATGATCATCCTAACTTCCAGGGTGAGATTATAACAACTTCCCAAAGTTTACTTCTATTTAAACTATGATTAAATAATAATGTATCAAATTTGGATTACAAAATGAAAATACACAAATGCATTCTATTTATACTAATGTATTGTTATTCTTAACTGAAAACAAATCACAAAGTAAATTAAGAGTTAGTACAATTCACCGTTAGAGATAGTATAATTTATATTTTAGCCACAGACAAAGAAAGTACTTATACTTTGAATTTATATATGTGCTCATTTCCATAAGTTTTAATTACCTTAATATTATCCTAATAATGTTTACCTGTATTTTTCTAAAAATAACCCATGTAAAAATTAGCTTAAATCACTTGACAATTTTGGTCAGAAGCTTTCAGGAGAAATATTCTTTTCCAGACTTCGTATTTGGTATCGGCAAAAGACCTCACAACTGCATTGGTAACAAAAGAGTAGACACCGCAACATCAGGATGAACATGATGGGACTACATAAGAAGTATGGACTTAAAGTGACCTATTTAGGCAGGCACATTTACTCACATACATAGATGACTGTATGATTTATTTGGAACATTATTCATTCCTATCTCCCTCTGCCTACCAATATCTGGCCTGTCTCTACATTAAGGTAGTGTAGGCCAAATTCTTTCATTTATTCACCAGACATTCGTTAACTGTAAGGCACTGTATTAAATGGCTCTGTAAGGGATACAACAGTTTTAGTACGATACATGTCTTACCCTTAAGGCACATGTTCTCTAACATGGACTGTAGTAGAAGAACACAGTAATAAATACATTGCCCAAGATGTCCAGATAAAATTCAAGAACTCATTTTTTCTGAGATAACTTTTGCTGCGGTCAACGGAAGAATAGCCAACTGAGCTAGGCTTTGGGGGAGAAGCAGGATTTGTATAAATTAAGACTGGGGAGAAAGAAAGAAAAGAGGGACTGAAGTACAGGGTAGATGTGGGAAAAAGATAAATAGCTCTGTTTGTGTGGAATACAAGAAATGTGTAAAAAGTCTGGAAAGAGAGCTTTAAAGCCAGACTATGAGAAGTTAAGAATAACATCCTAAGGAGCTGTCAATCTAAAATAGTATCAACAATTCAGAAAAGCAAATCCGTAGTAAAAATTATATAAATTAATGCATTGATAGTAAAAAACAAAAACCAAACCAATCTTTTGGCTTATCTCCCTTCAATAGTCTGAACAATTGTGGACTGACTACATTGCTACTTGCTTCTGAAAGAGACACATGATAGAGGGTTCTGGGATCCAGGTGACAACAAATTACATAAATTAGGGTACCATTACATTACACTGTTTCTGTGGTAGGGAATTCTTACACACTTGTATTCATTTTGGTTAAAATAAAAAATCAACTAAAGCAAGAAAATAAGTTTTCAGCTGGCTTAATTCTACATATCAGAGAAACATGCTTAATCCCAATCAATTAAATGGTAATCACACAATGGATGCAAATATCATGTCTATGTATTACGTCAAACCATATGAAACTGCTGATACTAAAATATATTTGACCTATAAAAATGGCAATTTCATATGCTTCAACCTAACAGAAATAACTAAACTGATGACTTAACAGCACCTTGAATTAGCTTTTACCTCCAATCATGCACTGGTTGAGGGAAGTTAAAATGAATGAGAGATTTATTAATTGTGCCACAAAGCTGTTTGGTTGCTAAGTCATCTTCTGGTTTATAAGCTCAAACCAGAAAAAGAGAAAGAGAGAGAAAGGGGTGAAGGGGGAGGGAGAGAGAAAGGGGTGAAGGGGGAGGGAGAGAGAAAGGGGTGAAGGTGGAGGGAGAGAGAAAGGGGTGAAGGCAGAGGGAGAGAGAAAGAAGGATGAAAACACACAAAAAGAAGAGAAAGCAGAAGGTACAAAAAAAAAATTAATAAGAAAGCTCAGAGACATTGTCCTCTTTAAAAAGAGAGGGAGAAACTGTGATTTTTAAGATTTTGTCATCAGAATGTAGAGAATGGGTACATTTTTCCCCGTAGGTACAAATAAATATGCTGCCTACATGGTTAAAACACTCACTAACATAATACACAATAACATAATACTCAGGAGACTAATATTTACTGAGTGCTTACTATGTGCTATTAAAAACCTTACCTACTTTCCATTAGACGTGAATAAGAACAACATGGTGGTTTCATATACATGGCTTTCATATCCAAGATTATTACCTTTCTTCAAGAGTATCCCAGATACTAAGGACTGAGCTGAGATTTGAAGCCATTATGACCCCTACGCCTATATTTTTCCTACGTCTATTGTAATGAACTCTACTGCCTTTCTAGAAGTATTTTTTAAAAATCTGAATCCCTGTCATTTTAATTTAAAGGCCTAAGATAAAATATCTTACACTGTACTGTTGCTGAGCAAAGAAAATTCAGCATAAAAGGGAAAAAGGTAACCATTTTATATGGTGAGAAATACATAATGCATACTATATTTCTAGCACAAAAAAAAAATCAAAAGATAAGCTGAAATTCAATTCAATAAATACTTAAGGTTTTCCTGGGTTGTGTCAGGCACTGTGAAGAAAGATCTATATAAAGTTATAGTCCTATAATTAATTATCTGGTTACAGACACATAAAAGTGGTGAAGATTCACCATTAATAAATGGAACTGGAAACATTTCAAATACCCACCATTTTCACATGTACAGCAGACTCTTGATTAGTCATTTCTTGGTTATCCAATCTTCTGTATTTTCCCAGGTGATGTCACAGCAAAAGAGGGAGGAAAAAAAGGTACATGTGACATACATACATTTCAGCTTCTTCATGTATGTTAATGGCATACTAAGGTGGTAACTGGTATGTATGATTTAAATACCAAGTTATCATAGACGTCTTTTTTTTTTCTTTACTAAGAAGCTTATCAAAGGTTTTACTCCATCTGGCAAAGTTGTGCATTAAAAATTTTGTATGGAGAATTAGAAGTCTCCTATAATAACTTATACGGTGTTAAGAATATG